TCCCACCTCAAGCCGCACCCCCATCTCCTACCTACTAACCTCATCCCGCCCCCTTGACCTGTCCGTCCTCCCTGGACTGACCTATCCCCTCCCTAACTCCCCACCTACACTCACCTTTACTGGCTCCATCCCCGCCTCTTCGACCTGTTTGTTTCCTCTCCACCTATCCTCTCCTCTATCCATTTTTTATCCGCCTCCCGCTCTCTCCCTATTTATTTCAGAACCCCCTTCCCCTCCCCCTTGTCTGATGCTTTTCTGATGAAGGGTCTAGGCCCGAAACGTCAGCCTTTCTGCTCCTATGATGCTGCTTGGCCTGCTGTGTTCATCCAGCCCTGCACCTTGTTGTCTCGGATTCTCCAGCATCTGCAGTTCCTACCATCTCTGATTCAATCATTACTGTAAAACCCAGTTAATACTCAAAATGACACACAAGAACAGTAGATTTCTTATTAACTGGCCTGGTGCTTCGTTTCACCTTTGTTCAGCAACAGTAACTCCAAGTATAGGCTGTTGGCCTCCATGTCATTTCATACTTTCCTTCCCCACCCAATCCTAAACCTCCACTACTCCTTCTACCATCCACATGAAGAGCTGGAGAACCACATTTGCCACCTTGGCATCCTACTTGATAATAAACTGAGCTTGTGGCCCTATGTTCTCTCCATCACCATGACCACCAACATCCAATTCCCATTATTGTCTATTTCCACTTGTTCTTCAACATACCAGCTATTGAAATAATCATCTGAGCTTTTGTTACTTCATGACCACAGCATTCCAGTGCTCTGCTCCCAGCTTTCACACCCTATACCTTTGAGTTCAGCGAAAATTCCACTACTCATTTCCTTGTTCACCCAACGGTCCTTTGCTATGTGGCTCGTATTAGCATGCTGTAAGTTAAAACACAAGCAACAGAGTTTTGGGTGACTTCAAGTTTCTGGAGTGTAGAAATTTGGAAGGTTGACCAGGCATGCATTGGAATAGTCAAGTCTAAAGGTAGCCAAGACATGAGGAGTGTTTCAACAGAGGAAAGGATGAGGCAATGAAATGGGCATGTTACAGAGGTATCTCTCTTGAAAGTGTATCTCAGGTTCAAGCATGGCACTGAAGTTGCAAATTGTCTGGTTCACCCTCAGGCAGTTCATTGTCAGAGAGAGAAATGGTGTCAGTCTCTAGAGTGTGGAGCTTATGATGGAAAACAAAAGCAGTGGCTTCAGTCTTCCTTATGTTTAAGTGGAGTAACTTTCTGCTCATATTGTAATAGTTTGTCAATAAGCAGCCCAACCATTTCGAGCAGTAGAAGGGTTAGGGGAGAGTGTGGTAAGGTCGAGCTAAACTGACATGCTTTTTGGAATGATATCATTGACTGGCAGCATACAGATAAGAAACGGGAGGGGCCTGTAGGCCAGCCGAAGTCATGTTCATCATCTGGACGAGAATCTATTGACAGCCATTCACTGACTGCGTGTAGATATTTCGAACCAGGTGCGTGCTGCCCAACCCAGCCAGGTGACCATAGAGAGATGTTGGAGAATTGTATAATGAATTGTGTCAATGTTGTGAAGGACAATAGAGCATAGAATGCCCTTTGTGACCTTGGTAAGGGCCATTTCGATACTGTAATGTGGATAGCAACCTGATTTGGAGGGATTTGAACATGGAAATGGACAGTACGGTGGCTCAGTGGTTAGCACTACTGCCTTACAGTGCCAGGGACCTGAGTTTTATTCCAGCCTCAGGTGACTGTGTGGAGTTTCACATTCTCCCTGCGTCTGTGTGGGCTTCCTCCAGGTGCTCCAGTTTCCTCCCACGGTCCAAGGATGTGCAGTTTAGGTGGATTGGCCATGCTAAATTGCCCACAGTGCCTAGGGATGTGCAGGCTAAATGGGTTAACCATGGAAAATGCAGGGTAGTGGGGTAGATCTAGGAGGGATGCTCTTTGGAGGGTCAGTGTGGACTTGATGGACTGAATAGCCTGGTTCCACACTGTAGGGATTGTATGATTCTCTGAAAAGATGGGCACATATTTGGGAAGGAACAGCACATTTTTTTACTTTGATGAGAAAAGGGACATTGGAGACAGGCCATTTGTTTGCAAGGATGATGGGGTCAAGAGTCAATTTCTTTGAGAGGTGATGGTGGCAGATTTTGAAGGAGAAGGTGATAGAACATGAGGAGAGAACTATCGTCAATTAACAAGAGAACCAGTAGCCAGTAGTCTATGAGAAATAAGGAAGAAAGGAACAGCAACAATGGGCAAGATGAGCTTGTAAAGGGATAAAGGGAGACAGCAAAGAAACTAAAGAAAGAAACACGTTCAGGACTAGAAACTTTAGAGGGTGATTGTGGACTCAGGGAGGAATGGAAATGATTGAATTGTCCCAATCATCATGAGAAATAGAACCATGAGCTCCTCACATTTGTTCTTGGAGGCGATGGTGGAGAGGTTTAAGAAGGCAGCTTGCCATGGGAGAAAGATACCAAGGGTACACTTTGCATCTGGGATGACTGTGGAGCGATGAGCACCTTTCCCAAATGAGAACAGGACCCAATGAATCTTTGTGTTCTCCATCCCGATACAGCAGTGAATGACCAGACCATTGTCTGCCACTTTGTTCAGTTCTGTGTTCCTTAAACTTCAGAGAAAGGAGGCAGACACTGTACTGGGTATGACCAGACTGAGAGAGAGTAATTGTTTTATTGGGGACTAGAATATCAAAGTTGGAGGTGGGGGTACAGGAGTCAATCAATAGGTACAGAAAGATAAAGGAGGCTGGAAAGCTGGATAAATAGGAATTTGAGAGTCCAGTTCTGATTGAATTGAGAACACTTTTTTTTTCTAGAAGTGGATATGTTTTGGATGATGGAGAAAGTGAAAAGATTACATCCGACTGTCTGTTCTCCAAACTGCACCTCTAATCTGAGAGAGTGAACTCTGTCTGAGATGATTCTGTGGAATTTTTATCATCAATTTTATCTTTTTTCACTTTCAGTTGGACAAAACGAATACCTATTCATGTGAGGAGTTTGCTGAAATCCAGTCTGAACAGTGTAACTATGCATTGAAGAAGCTTTGTGAACTCAGATACAAAATCATTCAGTCCGTCAAAGAAGCCTGTCTGGAGGTAATTACGCAGCTTGTAATCACCTTCTTGCCCTAGCTTCAACTTGTAAACTGAAACTAGTTGTAAGTCCCTTTGGAAAAGCTGAGCAATATAAACAGAAAAGACCGTGAACGGCTCCAGAGGTCCAGTAAGGAGGTTGCAATCAATTGTGACTCTGGCAGTTTATCCACAGCTAATTAGTCTCAATAAAAAGCGTAGGAATAGGTCAACTAGTCCCTGCAGTTTGTTCTTCCATTCAATCAGAGCTTACTGGGCTCAATTTGCTCACTTTGATTTGTACCCCTTACTTAATAAAATAGTTAATTCAAAAATAGAGGTCATCAAGAATATCATTTTTTAATGGGCCAACTGCTGGCAAATAAAACTCAATTAATTTAGGATATCTGGTCAGCATGGATGTGTTGGACTGAAGGGTGTGTTTCCGTGCTGTACATCTCTATGATTCAATGACTAAATCCAATAGGTGATCCAGGAGACACTTTATTACATAAAAGCATGGAAATAGGAGCAAGGTTGGGCCATTTGGCCTATTGAACCCATTCCACTATTCAACATGATCATGACTAATCGTCTATCTCAATATTTATACGTGTGTGCTCCTAGCCATATCCTTTGATGTAGAAACCCAGAAGTCTAGAAATACATTTCTTTCTTGAATATATTCAGGGATTTGTCCTCCACTGGTAGTGGTAGAAAATTCCACAGGGTCAATTCATCAAAGTGAAAAATTTCTTCACATCACAGCCTTAAAGGTCTACTCTATATCCTAAGGCCTTAGACCAGTTGGGAATGCAGATTTGAGGTTACAATCATATCAACTATGATCTTATTGAATGACAGAGCAGCTCCAGAGTTTGAATGGCCTGATCCTGCCCCTAAATCATATGTGACGCCTTGTTCTAGATCCTCCATCTTTTGAAACTCAGTCAAACATTGATAATAGACTCAGCTATAATAGGAAACCCCGGGAAAGTGAAACAAACAGGTAACATTTCTTTCACTACTAGATAACCTGTCAATCATGGCACTTTAGGAGTAGATAAGGTTTTTTCTTTCTCAAGTGAAAGTTTCTTTTGTCATTTTGAAAGGACCAAAACATTTAAATAACTTCAGATGACAATATGAGAGATCAAAAGGAATTTTCCTTTCTTCAGTTTGAAAACGTAAGGCAAATTTTCCCCTAAAATTAATGGAAAGGCAATTTTAATATATATTCTTTGTACTTCTTCCTAATTAACTCTACAGAAAGCCAAAATGGAGGGATTTGGGAATGTATTCCCAGCAGAACATGCTAATTCAACTCAGAGGCCAGCATTTACTGAAATTATAGGGTCGAGACCACTCCTTGCAGTGTTCTTCAAGTTCCTGAAGGTAGTGGACTACCTGTTTCAGGAGCTGATCTGTCGCCTGGTTAAAACTGCGGTCCAACTATTACTGGATGCCCTGACAGATTCATACATGGAGATCTCAACAGATGAGAAAAGAAATGAGGAATTGCTGAGGTAAGCAGTGAAAGCTTGGTCTCTATTGCTTCTGACTGTTGAGGTTGTTAGCAAGTAGAACATAAGAATTGGGTTAATGGCTTTGTACTCAAATTGGAGGAGATCCTTTGGTGTAGTGTTGACATCCTTAACTTTGAACAAGAAGCTATGTGTTAACATCAGATCCCAGGTTGTGTTCATAATGGGGCCAAACAGGGTGATTACCAGACCATAAATCCTTCCAATGTCTATAATAAGTGTGAAAGTCTCCTTGTTAACTGTCCCAACTACAGAGGAAAGTTGCAAACCGTATGGCTGGAGCAATTCAAAGGAAGCCCATGGCCCAATCCTTAAATTCATGGATGGGAGAAAGGATGGATAGACTCTAATTGAAGGGAAGTGATTCTCACATGAAACTAAACTGGTCCTCAGTTATTCATTGGTTTCATTAATGATTGCAGATGTGGGTTAGCTCAGTCAGTTACATTGAGACAGTGTAGTGCAGGATGATATGTATGTCATGTTGTACATGTTGTGGTAGATCATGGAGGCAATATTGCCCGTTACTTGGCATAAAATAGTACTATTCAAGCTAGATAACCACTTATTTCTCTTCAACTGAAAGGTTAATTATGGTCCCTCAAGGGTTCTGGCTAATTACCCTTACTCAATTGATGGCAGTTTAAAAATCACAGTTTTCCCATTTAAAACAGAAATTATACAAAATATTTTCTCTCAGAGGGTAATGAGTCTTTGGAACTCTCCCTGAAAAGGTAGCAGAGTCTACTCAAGTAGACCCCTTGAATATTTTAAAGACAGAAGTAGAAAGATTCTTGTGAAGCAAGGGAGTGAAAGGTTATCATGGGTAAGTGGGAATGTGGTTTTGAGGTTACAATCAGATCCGCCATGATCTTATTGAAATGCAGAGCATGTCTTGATGGGCTGAATGGTTTAAGTTGTACGTTCATATGGAAAAGAAGCAGAGAGCCAATGATACAATAGCAAAATACTGAGAGTGATGGAAGTCTGAAATAAAAACCAAAATGTTGGAAATACTCAACACGTCTGGCAGCATCTGTGCAGACAGAAACATAGTTAATGGCTCAGATTTGCATCTTTGAGGTGGGAAGCAGGAGCTGAGAATTTTCTATGATCCTGGCTCTATTTCTCTCAAAGGAGCACGCACAGTTTGGAAATTGACCTGCCTCCACTTGAAGCAGACCTGAGGTGGCATCGTAAACAGGTGGATACTGAGTCTGGCATGTTAGAATGTCCACCCTCATTAGATATTGAACTAGTTCTCAACATTTCTGTTATAGTCAATTCTCCCCTATGCACCCTATGCATCCTTTATACCACCATAACCATTCCATACACATCATTCCCTTTCTAACTGACCACATCCCAACGTACCTCCCCTGCCCATTTGTGACCTTCCACACACATTCTTCCAGTATTCGTGAAGGACTGAACAAACAAGCTCTGTAAAAAGATAGACAAACAGAAGGCTGGAAAAACACAGCACGCCAAGCAGCATCTGGAGGAGGAGAAGTCAATGTTTCAGGTATTACCCTTCTTCAGCACTGGATGTGGGAGTAGGGGGAGCTGCAGATAAAGGGGGAGGGAGGGTAGTGGAACGGTGATGATAGGTGGGCACCGGTAATAGGTATGACCTGGCTGGTCAGTGGGAGGGGTGAATGTGGTTGGTAGCTGGAATGGAAGAGAGGAGATGGGGCTGGAAAGGGAGCTGGGGAATGGGTCGGAAGGTGATTTGAAATTAGAGAACTCAATGTTAAGTCCTCCAGGCTGCAGGGTGCCCAGGCAGCAAATTTGTTCCTCATTGCGATCTGATTGACTGCAACACTGGAGGAAGATGAGGACAGACATGTCGGAGGGGGAGTGGGGGCAGAGTTGAAATGGGCGGTGACTGGGAGGTTAGGCTGGCCGTTACAAGCCAGGCAAAGATGCTCAGTGAAACGGTCATCTAGTCTACGTTTGGTCTCCCCAGTGTAGAGAAGACCACATTGGGAGCACCGGATGCAGTAGACTAGGTTGGAGGAGAGGCAGGTGAAGCTCTGTCTCACCTGGAAGGCCTATTTACGGCCCTGACGGAGGTGGTGTGTGGGCAGGTGTGGCATCTTTTATGATTACAGGAGAAGGTACCAGGGGGCTGGGGAGAGGGGGGCTGGGGATGGGGGTGGTTGGCGTGGTTGGTGGGGACCGTGGCACGAACTAAGCAGTGGCAAAGGGAATGGTCCTTGCAGAAGGCTGACAGAGGTGGGGAGTGGAAGATGTTCCGGGTGGTGTGGTCCAATTGGAGTTGGCAGAAATGTTTGAGGATGATACACTGGATGCAGAGGCTGGTGGGTTGGAAAGTGTGGACAAGGAGGAACCCTCTCTTTATATATCGAGGGGTAGGGTTTAGAGCTGACAAGTGGGGAATGGAGGAGGCATGGTGGAGGGCTGTCTGGATGAGAGGGGGAAAGAATGTTGTTTGAAAAAGGCAGACATCTGGGTTGCTTAGGAGTGGAACGTCTTCTTGTCAGAGCAGATGTGAACGAGATGGAGGAATTGGGAAAATGGGATGCAGTTTTTGCAGGATACAGGGTGAGAGAAGGTATAGTCCAGGTAGCTATGGGAGTCTGTGCGTTTATAGGAAACATCGGTCTGTAAACTGTCACCAAAAATGGAAACGGAGAGGTCAAGAAAGGAGAGGGAGATGTCTGAGATAGACCAAGTGAATTTGAGGGCAGAGTGGGAACCATATAATAACACTGCACATCCATGAAATGTCCATTAAACCATGAAAATACACAAATATTAATTCAAAAACCACTTCAAGGAAACAATTCTCCCAGCAGTTCATACAGCTGTCAATGAAATGCATCAATTAAAGTGGTTAAAGTGTCAGTGGATGAGCATTTTGAAGATAGAGACCATAACTCTGTAAGTTTCAGCCCTTATGAGAAGGGATAAGGATAGTACAGAAGTTGTGTCTAAATTGAGGAAGGCCAATTTCAATACCATAGGACAGAATCTGACAAACCTAGCCAGGAGCAGCTACATGCAGGTAAGCCTATATTTGGAAAGTGGGAGTCTTTTAAATGTAACATAGTGAGAATTCAGGGCCAGCACTTTCCTTGAAGTAAAGGACAAGGGCAGCAAATCCAGGGAACCCTGGATGTCAAGGGATATTGAGAGTTTTATGAAGAAAAAGAAGGAAGCATGTATTAGGTAGAGTGCATTAAAAACAGGGGAGGCCCTTCAAAAGTTTAGAGCGTGTACGGGGTGCTTAAAAAAAGAAACTGGGGGTAAAGAAGAGCCATGAAATAACTTGGGCAGATAGGATTAAGGAAAACCCCAAGCCATTTTAGAGGACCATTAGTGAAATAACTGCACAGAGGCCGGTATCCCATCACCAAGTCACCCTTTCTTTACTTGTGCACAATACACTGGCTGTGACCAGCCAGCTCGGAGTCAGTCACCTGAATTGATGAGATTCTAATCTCCTGGTTATATTGGACAGCCAGGTCTTTCCTGATTGGCCCAGGTTAACAACCCCAATCAACGATCTCGTAGTCAACAAGGTCAATCTGGTTCCAATCACTACATCCCCTCTCCCCGCCAAGTCTGGGGATGTAGGCCGAGTCTTTGGCTTGTAGCCTTACCTGTGATGTTTTCTCCACAAGTCCGGTTCCTCTAATTCACATGGGTGGCATGTACTGGACTGTAGCCTGCCTCTTGTGTCTGAAGCATTTCAGGGGAGTTTCCTCCTCTTCTTCCAGCAGTGACTGTATAGAGGCTGTATCCATCTTGGACTCTGAGGTTTGTTTGACACTAGACGGAGGGGGATCACCTATGGTTTTGGATAGGCCTTCGGGTTGTTCTGAGGAGCCAAGTATCTTTTGCTCCTGCCCCGATTGTGAGGTGACAGCTTTCAGGTGATCCACGTGTTTGCTCTGTACTGCATCACCTACCTGAACTTTGTAAGTCATGGGACCTGAACTCGCGTCAACCTCACCTCATACCCATACAGTGCCATTTCCATGGTTCCAGCATCAAACTTCATCCCCTGAATTAAATTGTCTCTCTCACTTAGAGGCGGCATGTGGCCAGCATTGTTGTTTCTGCTTCCATTTCACCCCCTTGTCTGGAAATATCAGGTTTAACCTGATGCGGAGTCTTCTGCCCATCAGCAACTGTTTTGGAGCTATCCCTGTTGTTGTGTGTGGGGTGGTCCTATAATCGAACAGGAACTGGGACAGTTTGGTATCAATTGATGCTTTAGGCTGCTTCTTTAAGCCTGTTTTCAATGTTTGGACCACTCTTTCCGTTAGACAGCTGGACAATGGATGGTATGGAGCTGTCCTTACGTGCTGAATGCCATTTAACTTTAGGAAATGTTCAAATTCTCTGCTAGTAAATGACTTCCCATTGTCTGTGACAGATATAACCGGGAGTCCGCGTATTGAAAACGATGCTCACAGCTTCTCAATCGCCATCCCTGAGTTTGCCAAACAAACTCTATGCACGCCCAACCACTTTGGATGGGCATTCACAATGACCAGGAACATTGAGCCCATGAAAGGACCGGCATAGTTAACATGCAACAGAGTCCAGGGTTTTCCCAGCCGTTTCCATGAATGTGGCGGGGGGGAACTGCTGGTGACAATTTTTGTGCTTGTTGGTACTCTGGGCACAGCCCTGCCAACGCAGCTATGTCGGCATCCAACCTTGCCACCAGATATAACCTCTTGCCAGCATCTTTATCTTGGAAAGCCCTGGATGACCCCGCGTGGAGTTTAGTCAGCACCTGGCAGTGACCTTTACTCAGGACAATCACCCTTGCTCCCCATGGTAATACGCCATGCTCTACAGTGATCTGGTCTCACTGGGTTCAGATGGTCCTTCTGTTTCCCCCATTACCACCAGTTGTTTTAGTTTTGGTAGGACAGGATCTTTTTGTGTCCACAGTCAGATATTGTCCGCAGTGACTGGAAGGCTGTCCAGGAATTCAAAACCAACATGGACATGTCCATGGGAAGCACCACCAGTGGAGTATCTGCCAGTGCAAAGCGGCTCAAGGCATCCGTTTTAGCCACTTGGGTTCCTGGAGAGTGTTCTAACTTGTACTTTTACACGCTGAGATTAAGGGCCCAATGCGAAATTGTACCGTAAGCTATGGGTGGCACCACCTTGTCTTCCTTCTGTATCCCTGGCAGGCGTTTGTGATCTGTTACTATGACAAATTCCCATCCATAAAGGTACTGGTGGAACCTTCTCACACTAAAGATGACCGCCAAACCTTCCTTCTCTATCTGGGAGTATTTGCGTTCGACATCAGCCAAAGTCCAGGAAGCATACGCTATTGGACGTTCCTCTCCATTGGGCCACCGGTGAACCAACACCACCCCAATACTGTAATGGGAGGCATTGCATGTCAGCACTACCTCTTGCTTCACTACCTCAGCCAACACTTTTGATGATAATAGATGCTTTTTCACTTCCCTCAATGCTACTTCATGACTACACAACCATTTCCAAGGCTGGCCCTTTTCCAATATCAGGCGTAAGGGAGCCAAGATGGACGCCAGGTTATTTATGAATTTTCTGTAATAATTCACGAACCCAAGGAAAGACCTAAGCTCTGGTACAGACATGGGAGCTGGGGCTCCTCTGATCGCCCTCACTTTTACTTCCAATGGGTGTAACCCAGTTTTGTCGACACTGTACCTCAAGTCGGTCACTTGCCTGGAATGTACATTTTCCCCTTTAAGATGTATGCCTGCCTGGGAGAAACGTTTAAGCACAATGTCCAAGTTCCTCAAGTGCTCTTTATTGGTCTTCCTGGGTCAGCCCTTGTAAAATGTTCTCCATGGTGTGCTGGAAAAGGGTGCAGGCTGATGATACACCAAATGGCTGTCTTGTATATTGATATAAACCCTTATGGGTATTAATTGTAGCGTATCTATGGGACTCCTCATCCTGTCACAATTGCAAGTAGGCCTGGCTCATGTCCAGCTTTGTAAAGAACTGCCCCCACATTCCCCCGCCACCCTCCCACCCACGCCTCGCAAACTTTGCATACATATCCTCTATGAGAGGGATTGGGTATTTATCCAGCTGTGAGAGCGGTTTACCGTTTGCCTAAAATCCCCACAAAGGCAAACTGAGCTGTCAGGCTTCACAATCAGTATGACCAGTGCAACCCATTCTGCAAACTGCACTGGTTTGATGATTTCTTCGCTCTCCAACCTCCTGATTTCCGCCTCTACTTTTGCCTACAAGGCAAATGGCACTGGGTGGGCCTTGTAGAATATCGGAATCACTTCCTGGTCAACATGTAAAGTGGCTTTGGCCCCTTTGATAGTCCCAAGCCCTTCTTAAAATATTCCCTGGTATTTCTCTCATTGCCACTGAAATGACTGCACAGAGGCCGGTATCCTGACACCAAGCCACCCTTTATAAACTTGTGCACTGACTGTGGCCAGCCAGCTCGGAGTCAGTCACCTGAACTGAGGAGGTTCTAATCTCCTTGTTATATTGGGCAGCCAGGCCTTTCCTGATTGGCCTAAGTTAACAGCCCCAATCAATGATCTTGTAGTCAATGAGATCAACCTGGTTCCAAACACTACAATTAGGAATAAGAGGGTTACCAGGGAAGGACCTGGGGCCACTGGAGACCAAATGTGTATGGAGCCAGTGAACATGGGTGAGGACTTAAATGAATAATTCTCATCTGTATTCACAGACAAGAAAGACATTGCAGCTGGGAATTTCATTTGTGATGGTGATGTTGTAGAACATGTAAAATTAAATAAGCAGGGGATATTAGATATTTTAGTGGGCATAAAGGCGAATAAATGCTTAGGGCCTGATGAGATGCATCCCAGGCTCTATGGGAGACAAAGGAGGAGATTGCTGGGCCCTGGCAGAGATACTTAATACTTTGCTGACTACAGATGAAGTGCCAGATGGCTAGAAGATAACTAATGTGGTTCCTGTATTCTAGAAGGGCAGCAGGGATAGCCCAGGTAATTGCAGACCAATTAGTCCGATGTCGGCGGTGGGGATATTATTGGAAAAATACTGAGGGAGGGGATTAATCAAGACTTGGAAAGGGGCAGGGATTAATCAGGGATAGTCAGCATGGATTTGATAGAGGGTGATCCTGTCTGACTAAAGATATTGATAAGGGTAGTGTGATATTGATCACTTGGTAAATTGGGCAGAGCAATGACAAATAGAATTTAATTCTGCTAAGTGTGAGGAGTTGCATTTTGGGAGGTCTAATAAGGGTAGGACTTACACAATGAATGGCAGATTCTTGGGGAGTACTGAGGAACAAAGGGACCTTGGTACACAGTTCATAGATCCCTGAAGGGGTCAGCTCAGGTAGACAAGGTGGTGAAGATGGCATATGGAATACTTGCCTTCATTAGCTGGGGTATAGCACACAGGAGAAAGGAAAATAGGAGTTTGTTATAACTTTATAAAACATTGGCTAAGCCACAGATGGAATACTGTGTTCAGTTCTGGTCACCACACTATCAGATGGATTTGAATCAGATGGTGCAAAGGAGATTCATCAGGATGTTGCCTGGGACAAAAAATCTCAGTTATGTGGAGAGACTGGACAGGTTTGAGCAGAGGAGACTGAGGGGGATCTGATTGAGGTATACAAAATTATGAGACATAGACAGAGTAGGTTGTGAGAATCTTTTCCTAATGGCAGATATGTCTAAGATCAGAGGCGTACATTTAAGGTGAGGCTTAAATGATTTAGAGGGGAAACAGAGAAATTTTTTTCACCCAGAGAGTGGTAGAAATATGGGACTTGCTGCCTGAGGTGGAAACTCTTGTAACATTTAAACAATATCTGAATAAGCACTTAAAATGCCAGGGCATTGTAGGCTATGGACCAAGTGCAGGTAAATGGGATTAGTGTAATTGATGCTTGTTGGTCGGCATAGGCATGGTGGGCCAAAGGACTTGTTTTTATGCTGCATGACTCTAAGACTCTATCACTTTTTAATTCATACTGCTACAAAGAAGCTGTAATCCTCAGTCAAATCTAATATCATTTGTACAGACACACAAATACATAAAAACCTTTTCTAAGAACAATTAACTTTATTACAAGCTCATGGAACTGTTAATCAGGTCAGAAGCTAGGAATCTTATAGTGAGACACTCACTTCCTAACTCATCAGTGCCTGTCCACCATCTACAATACACACGTCAGGAGTATGATGGGAATACTCTCAATCTGCCAGGTTAAATGTAGCTCTAACAACACTCGAGAAGTTTGACATCATCCAGGGCAAAACAACTTTCAGGGGAACCAAGAATGGGTTATAAATGCTGGCCTAGTCAGCGACATCCGCATCTCATGTCTGAATTTAAAATAGTCAAAGCTAAAAATTTGCTTCACAGCTGTGTAAAAAAAAAATCCACTGATCTGAATTCATTAATAGGCTGGAGCTCAGCCATGCATTCCTAATAGGATTTTGCAACATAGTTGTTTCAATAAATGCTCTGGCTCTCCAATATGTTGACTTCATTGAATGACAGGTTGGCCATCTGTCAGTTTGTTAAAAAGGTTTGAATGTGTTCAGTTTTAGTATTCTAACACAGTGCATTTCATTTGCTTAACATCATCAATCATCTAAAAACATTTCTCATGAGTGCTGCAGTGTTGATTGAAAGACTAAAGGCAATTTATTTTCATTGCTCCTGCTGCTGACTGTGCTCCTGCTCTTTTTGCTGTACCTGAATGTACTTGTGCTCTTGCTGGTGCTGTCACTGCTGCCTTTTGTCATTATGGTTCTTATATGAGGTCCAACCAGTCACCTATTTACCTCAATGATAGGTCATAGTTCCAATGTGCAGATCAGGCATCCAAATTGTCAGTGTCGCCTCCAATATACCTGGGTTCTCACTGGATTTATGCTTAAAAGCTTGTTCCTGACAATCCTGAGCCATTTAGAAAAAATTTAAATCATTGTTACCGTTCTACTTTCAGCACACTCCCAATCCACACTAGAGCTTACCTGGACAAACGCTTGCGCATCGTGCAAGATTCTTCCAATACTGGAGATAAAAGTCTTAGCAGTCTCCAGAGCTTGAGCAACGTTGAAAGACAGTCTGAGGTGTCCACCAAAACCAGCGCAATGGATGTAGACCAGGTAAGCAATGCTGCATGAGGATAGAGAAAGTTGCTTAAGCAGGTCACACTTTGACTGCACACATTGTCTTCTCAGTACAGATACAGTTATTTTGTCGGAGTTCATTAATTGAGGTGGTGGCAAATTCGGACTGTAATGGAACAGTACCTCCTGATTTACATACTCAGTGAATAACATAAATGACTGAATACTGTTTGCTTTTGTATTTTTAGTAAATACCACCTTCTGTAAGTTATTGCTCCTCTACATGGAACCTCCCCAAGATTCTTTTTGGATATTATGGAACACTAATATTTCCATCAATAAAGGACATTGCTCCCCTCTGTTATATCTGATATTACTCAGGCCTCTATAAAATCTTTCTGTTTTTATTTTAATTTTCATGGAGTTGTAAAAATCATTGCAAAATGGACTACCTCACATTCTCTTAATTTTTGAATTTACAGGCTTGGATTCTTGTTAGTACTATTGGGTTATTTAAGAACATAGAACATAGAACAGTACAGCACAGTACAGGCCCTTCGGTCCACGATGTTATACCGACCTATTATCCTACTAAGATCATTCTACCCTGCATACCCCACATTTTACTCTCCTCCATATGTCTATCCAAGAGTCGCTTAAAAGCATCTAAAGTATCTGACTCCACTACCACACGCCCACCACTCTCTGTGAAGAACCTACCTCTGACATCTCCCCTATACCTTCCTCCAATCACCTTAAAATTATGCCCCCTCGTAATAGTCATTTCTGCCCTGGGAAAAAGTCTCTGACTATCCACTCCATCTATGCCTCTCATCATCTTGTACACCTCTATCAAGTCACCTCTCATCCTTCTTCGCTCCAATGAAAAAGTCCCAACTCCGCTGATCTTTCCTCATAAGACCTGCCCTCCAGTCCAGGCAGCATCCTGGTAAATCTCCTCTGCACCTTCTCTAAAGCCTCCACATCTTTCCTATAATGTGGTGACCAGAACTGAACACAATATTCCAAGTGTGGTCTAACCAGGGTTTTATAGAGCTGCAGCGTAACCTCACGGCTCTTAAACTCAACTCCCCTGCCAATGAAAGCCAACACACCATACGCCTTCTTTACAACCTTATCAATTTGCGTAGCAACTTTGAGGGATCTATGGATGTGGACCCCAAGATCCTTCTGTTCCTGCCATTAACCCTGTATTCTGCATTCAAATTCGACCTTCCAAAATGAATGACTTCACACTTTTCCAGGTTGAATTCCATCTGCCACTTCTTTGCCTAGCTCTGCATCCTGTTAATGTCCCGTTTCAACCTACAACAGCCCTCCATGCTGTCCACAACTCCACCAACCTTCATGTTATCGGCAAACTTACTAACCCACGCCTCCACTTCCTCATCCAAGTCATTTATAAAAATCACAAAGAGCAGCGGTTCCAGAACAGAACCCTGCGGAACACCACTGGTCACCGAGCTCCGGGCTGAATACTTTCCATCTACTGCCACCCTCTGCCTTCTATTGGAAAGTCAGTTTTGTATCCAGACAGCTAAATTTCCCTGGATCCCATGCCTCCTTACTTTCTGAATGAGCCTACCATGTGGAACCTTATCAACTGCATTGTGTATTGCACTAAGATTTACTTACATTCAACTGCAGCAGCCATTATTGAACTAACTTTATTTACACCCGTAAGAGAGATGAAATATGAAAAAAAGCTGAGATCTTGCAATAATATTGCATACCCTCTCCATTTAGAAAGATACAGAGAAGGAGATGATGATATTATGATAATTTACGAAATCAGTTCGAGCAGAATACCTAATTCATCAGTCTTACTGAATTTTCTGTCTGAGTGGATTAGAAATTTAGAAAGACCGAATGAATGCTCTTAGGCCATGACTGAAATCTTACACCAGCTGATGGAGTTTAAATTTGATTAATTAATCTGGAATGTAAAGATCATCACAGGAATGGTGACTATGACAAATGTCATAGATTGATATGGTTTATTAATGTCCTTTAGGAAGGGAAATGTACCATCCTTACTTAGTCTGACCTACATGTGACTCCAGAGCCACAATGATGTGTTTGACTCTCAATCAACCTCTGAACTAGCCAAGCATGTCACTAAGTTCAAGGAATGGCTACAATAGGCAACTGGCAATGATGCCGACATTCCATTAAAGAGATAGGAACTAACTTTGCTTTACCAGCGGATTCTGTAATACCAGCAAATCTCAGTTTCTTTTTGATTCTCACTTCTATCAATGTGTGTTGGAGGATCTAAGGCGTGTCTTGTAAACAGCCTGCATTGACACTTGGCAGCTCCTGTGGACACCTTCTTTCTGTCAAGAGGGATGTCAGGCCCGATTGGGATTAGAATAGTTAGGTGGTTGTTTTGACCGGCATGGATCTGTTGGTACTGTAGATTGCCATGACTCTACGATTCAATCCCATACCCACACCTTCAGAACAAAAATTGGGTTTGCTAGGGCACTTCCTCCCAAGGCAAGATAATGACCTGGAAATTTCCAGACTCATGGACTTGCCTCAGGAGTGGAAATATCTCCTTTAACATTATTTTAAAAATAACTTGCTGGGTTTAACATTTCGGAGTGTTTTCTGACCTTTAGTTCACTGGACAAATTGTTAATGATACAACCCCATCCAAATCAATATCTTGCTAAAATGACATCTTACCCCAACCTTTGCTATTCCTTCTGTCCTGGGCAAACACAAGATTCTGTTCTGTCCAAACACAAGATTGCTACTATGTGACACTAATCTGCTAAATGATGTGTGGTTCATATATGTTCTGCAGGTCATCAAAAATATTGAAGAACAAACACAGAAAGTGGCACCGGTGTTTATTGTAAATCTGATACTTGACATTCCATCTAAAAATGAAATCCCACATCGAAGCAGTACAAAATCTAAATGTCGAGCCTCTAATCGAGTGTGCAAGCCTGATAAAAACGATGAGGCCTTAGAGCAGTCATGGATTTCTGCAGATTCGAGAGAATTGGATTGTATGTTGGATCCAACAGGTATAAATGTTGACCACGCCTTCCTTAGAGAATAAGGTGACTCACAGTTCAGTCTAAAGTTTGACAGCTGAGAGATTGTATGCCGTATTCACACAGTAATTGTTTTATTTAGTCTCACAATGAATTATGGAAAGATCAAGTAATACTCAAACTGGCTGACTGTCAGTGATTAACTGCAGTTACAGGGTTGCAGTCAGGTACATTTAATTGTGATTGTATTTTGGGGTTGTCATGACCAGCTGTTTGAGGTAAGTTAATAACTTGAGGGTCTGGGGTGTAAGGTAAGGACAGATTTTAACTCCTGTGGGAGGAATTGGACATCATAGGATGGGGCAATCGGTCCACCAACAGTGCACACCTTCCTCTCCCTCCTGTATCTATGTACAGCCTATAGCATTCTGCTCAAATGTGTGTGTGTTTTGATTTGTTTGTGTGACTGTGTGTGTGTGTGCTTTTGTGGATGTTTGTGTTAGCCTGCGTGTGTCAGCATGTCAGTTTGTGTCATAGACATATGTGTTCCTGAGTGTGGGGAAATGTATGAATACAGGAGAGATCTCAGCCATTGAATGGAGGGCTGGGTAGAGGCCCACTTTGGTTCCTTTGGGGTAGATCTGCCAGTCTGAGACAATCAGACAATTACAGGCTATCAACAGTCTTTCCATCAATCAGGCTCCTGGGGATGGGAAGCCTTCCCCACTAAAAGTTGCTGGCCAATCAGAGGTTGGTAGATCTTTAGAGCCAGGATCTGCAGAGTGAGTGACCCAGGTGAGAGGGGTGTTGTAGAGAAGGATGTTAAAGTGAGTTGGGCAGCAAGGGCAGTTCACAGTGGAGAGACAGGCACAGGAACGTCAGGCAGGTTTGTTTGACGTGTTGGTAAGCAGAATCAAAGGATGAAGCAGCCCACCAATGCAACATTAATCACTCATAACCAGTCTCCAAAAGCAACTTTCAGTCAGTCCTGCGCTGGCTCCAGTCTGCATGGAAATTTCTCCACATTCTCACCACAACACCAGAAGATAAACATGGTCATCTTCACCTTGAAAGACAGTTAAAGTGTTGTGGGTATGCGGGTATTTGCATGTGTTTCTGTTTGTACACTGGTTGTGTAGGGGTGTTTTGATAGTGTTTGGCTGTTGGTGTGTGTTTCTTAATTTTTTCATATATTCACTCGTGGGATGTGGGCATCCTTAACTGACCAGCATTTACTGCCTGTCCCTAGCTGCCCTTGGAACTGTGTGGCTTGCTAGGCCATTGCAGTTGAGAGTAAACCACAGATGCTCTGCATCTGGAGTCACGTGTATGGCTAGGCCAAGTAAGGATGGCAGTTTCCTTCCCTGAAGTGAGTCAGATAGAATTCTTCTGACAGTTGACAATGTTTCCGGTCATCATTAGACTCTTAATTCCAGATTTTTATTGAATTCAAATTCCACCATCTGCCACAGCAGTATTTGAGCCCAGGTCCCCAGAATGCTACCTGGGTCTCTGGATTAACAATCCAGTGATAATACCACTAGGCCATCACCATCCCAACTGATCATTTAGATTATTCTGAAAGATATATGGGAAGCAAATTATTTAACAAATGATGAATACGTGGTTTTAAACAGGTGAATGACTGTATTTAGTGCAGTTGCCTCAGCAGATCTTAGAAAAATGGTAACTGTAATTTCTGTTTCTACAGAAAGTGACGTTGAAATTGAAGATAATATAGATGACAGGTAAGTGACAAAAAACTAAATTTCAATTGTTTAATTTCATCAGTCATCGAAAATGTCTTTCCAAGAGCACCAGAGCACTGATCAAAAGATTAAAAGGCAGTTTTTTTTCCATTGGACATGGGTATTGCTGACTAAGCCAGATCTTAATCAATCCTAAATTATGTTGCAAAGGTGATGGTGAGTTGTTTTGAACTGCTGTAGTCCTTTGTGTGTCAGAACACTCATAATGCTGTTAGGGAGGGAGTTTCAGCATTTTAGAAACATAGATAAAAGGAGCAGGAGTAGGTCATTCAATGCCTCAAACCTGCACTGCCATTCAATATGATCACTGAGCAAAATGCCCGAAATCCCACCCTCCCCCATATACTTGATCCCTTAAGCCACAAGATCTATATCTGCCTCCTTTTTGAAAACCCAAACGTTTTGGCTTCAACCATTTTCTGTGGTAGTGAATTTCATAGGTTCACTATTCTCTGAGTGAAGAAATTTCTCCTCATTTCACTCTGAAAAGGTTTTCCCTTTATCCTTAAACTATGACCCCTGGTTTTGAAATCCCCATTGGGAACATCATTCCTGCATCTAACCTGTCTAGTCACAAAACATTAAACATAGAACAGTACAGTACAGGATTAGGCCCTTTGGCCCATTATGTACAGCTGCAACATGATTTGCCAATTTTTATGCCCCAACAAATGAAGGCTGTGTGCCTTCTTTACCACCTTATCCACTTGTGTTGCAACTATCACGGAGCTATGGACTTGCACCCCAAGATCTCTCTGTATATCAATGCTCTTAAGGGTCCTGCCATTTACTGTGCACTTTCCTGTTGCATTTGACCTCCTAAAATGCATCACCTTACACTTATCCAGATTAAACTCCATCTGCTATTTCGCTGCCCAACTTTCCAACTGATCTATATCCTTTTGCATCCTTTGACAACATTCCTCACTATCCACAACACCACCAGATTCACCAACTTACAAACCAGACCACCTATATTTTCATCTAAATCATTAAGGATCTCACCCACTTCCTTTGGTTCCATACATAAATTCCCTGTTTGTCCTTGAGTGAATCTACCCTTCCTTAGCTACCCTCTTGCTCATGATATACATATAAAATGCTTTGGGATTCTCCTTAATCCTACTTGCCAAGGACATTTCATGGCCTCTTTGAGCTTTCCTAATTCTTTGTTTCTAGTCCTATTAGAATTTTATAGGTTTCTATGAGAACCCCCTCATCCTTCCAAACTCCAGCTACAACAGTCCTAACCAACTCAACTTCTCCTCATATGACTGTGCTTCCATCCCAGGAATCAATTTGGTAAACCTTTGCTGTACTCCCTTCATAGCAAGAACAACCTTCCTTAGGTAGTGAGCCCAAAACTGCATACAGTATTCCAAATGTGGCCTCACCAGTGCCCTGCATAATTGCAGCAAGACATCCATTGTTCCTAGACTCATATTTCTCGCTATGAAGGCCAATGTGCAGTTTGCCTTCCATACTGCCTGCTGCACCTGCATGCGTACTTTCAGTAACTGTTGCACAAGGACACCATTGAACAATTCCCTCACTCAAATAATAGCCATTCAAATAATAATCTGGGTTCCTACTTTTGCTACCAAAATGAATAACATTACACTTAACCACATTATTCTGATTTATACTGCATCTGCCAGCGCCGCTATATTGACAATATATTTCCACGTCAGGATGGTGTGTGACTTAAAGGGGAGCTTGGGATAGGGCTAGTCCTGTTCCCATATTTCTATGTCCTTCTAAATGATAGAGGTCTCGGGCTGGAAGAAGTTGTGTAAGAGACCTTGATGAGTTACTTCAGTACATCTTGTAGATGGTACCCACTGCTGCAATTGTGCATCAGTGGTGGAGGGCTTGAATGTTTAGGATGGTGGATGTGGTCCCAGTCAAGTGGGCTGCAATCTCATTCACCACACCAACTTTATTTACCACTCTTACTGCACTTATGCACACTGACAGTCCACCATAACCAGGATAAGAACACTGCAAATTAACTTACAGTGTGGGGATCACATTGTGTAAATCTTTCCAGTCCAACCTGATTATATTAACAACCAAACCTTCTCCAAGGTCTAACTTGATTTTACACCTACCTTAGCACTGGCCTGACTCAACGCCACACCTCAGTCCCTGCCCAACCTCACTTCCTGTTCAACCCCCTGTCTTGGTTTTGAACTGTTCGTTAGGACTGCCAGCAACAACTCACCAACTACAGGAAATCCTTTGCTATTTCCAGTGCCATGTTCTAAATGCAGAAGAGAACCTAGTATTTTCCTTCACTTGTGTTATTTACCAATAGCACACCCAAACCCTCTTCCCTCCAGGATGAGCTCTCAACTTTATCATGCCTGCACACTAGAAAGAAGCACATTATCCCTGGAGTCATCACCAAAGTTAAAGATTTCACAAAGTTCCCTAATTTACCTGACCTTTAGATCCAAGTTGATAGAAAGATTGAGTTTAATCTGAGTAAGTGTGAGGTGCTGCACTTTGGAAAATCAAACGTTCGGAAAAGTATATAGTTAATGGCAGGCCTCTGAACAGCATTGATGTACAGAGGGATCTTGGCGTTCAAGACCTAGCTCCCTGAAAGTGGCCACACAAGTAGATAGGGTGGTAAAGAAAGCGTATGGCATGCTTGCCTTTATTGGTCGGGGAACTGAGTACAGGAGTAAGGATGTCATGTTGCAGCTTTATAAGACTTTGGTAAGGCCACACTTAGAGTATTGTGTTCAGTTCTGGTCGCCACATTACAGGAGGGATGTGGATGCTTTGGAAAGGGTGCAGAAGAGGTTTACCAGGATGCTGCCAGGATTAGAGGGTATGAGCTATAGGGAAAGGTCAGAAAAACTTGTTTTCTTTGGAGTGGCAGAGGCTGAGGGGAGACGAGATAGAAATCTATAAAATTATGAGATGCATAGATAGGGTTGATGGTCAGAATCTTTTTCCCAGAGTTGAAATGTCTAAAACTAGGGGGTGTGCATTTAAGGTGAGAGGGGGAGAGTTCAAAGGAGATGTGAGGCGCAAGTTTTTTTACACAGAGTGTGGTAGGAGTTTAGAACGCACTGCCAGGCGGTGGTGGTGGAGACAGATAAGGGCATTTCAGAGACTTTTAGAGAAGCACATGAAAATGCAAGGAATGGAGGGATATGCACCAAGGGCAGGTAGAAGGGATTAGTTTAATTTGGTATCATGTTCAGCACAACACGTGGGCCGAAGGCCCATTCCTGTTCTATGTTCTATATAAAGCATGGACCAGGTTTCTGTATGGAATAAGAATTACTATTTAGTATAAGTAATTAGATTCTAAACACAGTTAAACAGTTATAAACCATTGTTATACAACATTACTAATCAAAAACCTAATCGTCTTCTCCACGCACCCTTACACAGACACACAATGATTGACAGACAAAATAAAATAGAATAAAAAGGGTTAATGGGCAGAGAACACAAATGGGAAAGACAATCAGTGGACGTTGTTTCCAGCTTCTGTCTTTGACATTATCCTTATCATCCTTCTGGGCAGCATGTTGCTTCAGTCATCTTTCTCCAGATGTTTCTGCGGGTTTGGCAAGAGACACAGGTGGCTGGTACCCTGTTGAAAGGTCTTTGACTTAATGCTTAAAAATCACAGCATACAATAACTGTTGTAGGAAAGATAAATTAGTTTTCTTCAGGTTTATAATGTGTTTTACCACAGAGAACTATTGGTCACTGATGCATTAAGTATATTCAAGGTCAAATAGACAGATTTCTAATCTTTCAAGGAATCAAGGGGGATAAGGCAGGAAAATGCAGTTGAAAATTATCAGATCAGCCATGATTTCATTGAAAGGTAGAATAGATTTAGTTAGCTGAATGGCCTACTAATGCTCCTATGTCTATGGCCAGTGGATATCAGAGAATGACGGCTGAGCAGGGACCCTGTGAGGTGAGAATGGGAGTGGGGTTTGATTGTGGAAATGGATATAGTAAACCACATAGCAACATGGGTGTGATATTTTCAAGAAGTAGTAGGTAGTGCTGCCATTCCTGATTTGAGAGGACAGAACTGTTGTAATGAAGGACTTGTCCAAATCTGGGAGGAGCTTCCATCATCTGACAGCAAATTCAAAATTAGGAGCAATTAGAGAGGGGGAACTGAGTCAACCCAATTTTATGACTCATTACAGATAACCTATGTCAGTTTCCAGGCACAGATAGGGTATAACAGAACTCAATGTATCAACTTCAATGTTTAGTTTGTAAATTGGGTCATCTTTGTTCTAATCTAGACAGTGGATCAGATGCATCTTTCTGTAGAATGTGAAAGAGCACAGTACTTATTTTGATGGTCTGTGGCTTTGCCTGATTGTCCAACTGAATCTATTTCGGATCCATTAAAGATAATGTAGTGATAGTAATGAGGACAGCCAAGTGGACCTCGTACTAGCTCCTCCCAGATTTGGACAAATCCTTCATTACAACAGTTCCCTGATTGGGGCTGTTAACCTGGTCCAATCAGGGACCCCTGGCTGACAGATATAAACAGGAGTGTCTGAGGTCTTGTTCACTCTAGGAGCCAGCTCTGATGCAGCTGGATCAGTGTCAAGTACTATGTATGTGTAAATAAAGGGTGACTTGGTGATAGGATATTGACCTCTGTGGAGTTATTTCAGATAATCAGTGGATTTTTCTAAGTTCTGGTGAGATAGTGAGAATGACTTCAGTCTTATCGATATAATATGCCTGTGTGATTCTTTTAAAGTTATAGATCAGTATACAGGAAACCTGTAAAATCTACTTTGTCCCCCACCTCGGAAGATTTGCTGTTTCACATACAAAGCATAATTGGAACACTGGAATATACTGTTGGTAAGAAGAAAATCATTAACAAATATAGCTTAAATAAAGTTAATTCACAGAATACTCACACATACTTAGCTTTATGAGGTGTGGTATTGAATACAAAAGCAAGGAATTTATGATAATTAATGATATAATAATTCTTATAAAGTTATGAGAAACATTACAAATCACTGCTTGGGTCACAACTGCATAATACAGTGGCTTGGTAGTAACGTCCTTAGACTAGTAATCCAGGGGCCCAGGCTAATGTTACAGAGATAGTAGGAAATGCTGATGCTGGAGAATCTGATATAACAAGGTGTAGAGCTGGATGAACACAGCAGGCCAAGCAGCATCAGAGGAGCAGGAAAGCTGACGTTTTGGGTCTAGACCAGGCTAATGTTCTGCGTTTGAATTCCAGAATTGTAGTTGGTGTACTTTAATTTAAAGTCATTTAATGAATTTGGAATTAAAAGCTAGTTTTATTAATGATGACTATGAAACTTGCAATGATTGCTTTTACAAACCCTATATTAAAGGAAATCAATTTTCTGTCCTTAGTTGGTCTGGCCTACATGTGACTACAGACCCATAGCAATTGATTCTTAGCTGCCTTCTGAAATTTTCAGGTCAAAGGCAATTAGGGGTGGGCAACAAATGCTAGGCTTGTCAGTGTTGCCCACATCCTCATAATACAATAAATTTTAAAAAAGCAAACAATTCTGGGCACCAGACGTAAGGAACGACTCCAGGGCCTTGGAGAAGATATAGAGGAGATAAACCTGTAATGAGAAACTTCAATTATGTGGAGAGATTGTAGAAGTTGGAGATGTTTTCTTTAAAGCAGAGGAAGTTAGGGGAAGATCTAATTAAGGTATTTAAAATAATCAGTGGTGCATCAAGAAGGGAGAAACTGCATCATTTCTCAAATAGTTTAGTAACTAGAAGTCATGGATTTATACTGAACTGGCTTTTGGGAGGAGAGAGTGTGCTGAATGAAGATTATCTTTCCCACACAGCATTGTTATGATCTGAAACACATTTCCTCAAAGAATTAGGTTTCATAGGCATTTAGAAAGGGAATTGGACAGTGTGCGTGTGTGTGTCTGCCTGGGCTTGCAGCTGAGGATTGAAGACTTGTGTGAGGAGAGGGGATTCGACCCAAACTTGTGGAACCACAAGTCAGCAGGAATCTCCTGAAAGAAAATTCAACAAAGGCATTTATCCTTATACATTAGATATGATTTTAATATATTTGTGAAGCGAAAACAGTTAATCAGGGGATCATTTTGTTTGATTATCTGAATAACGCATTGTGTCTAAAATCCAACCAATCCAATTTGTATCTTTGTAATCTTAGGCAAGCTAGTTGCCTTCATTGATGAGCCTCACTTATCCATGTTTGACTCATATTCTGCGTACGAACTGAAACTGTCCGAGCGTGAACTGGAGACAAAAAGGTCTAAGAAGAAGAAGCTATTGCTCAACCCTGACATACTGTTTGGGCAAGATCCACATTACCAGAACCAAGTAAGATTGTGTCTTCCTCTGTATCTGGCCATTTTCTGAGTGATTTTTGTGAGATTATTTCATGCTATTTGCGTTATGGGAGGATAATATGTCAGGTGGGTGGGGCATGTTGGGTTTATGGGATGGTGGGGTTAGAGATTGATGGCTAAGGAATGGGGGTCAGGTCAGGGTTGTCAGTGATTCAGGAGCCAGTTGTGAGTCAGGGGTTCATTTTAATAGTTACTAAGGAGTTAGATTTTTTACTTTTCCTGAATAACTTTTAAGCTTAAGTGAGTTGGAATTTTCAGAAGTATCTGACTTTTTCAGAGGTTCAGATGCAGGGGAAAATAAACTTATGTTGTTCTATGTTAGAGTGTATCGAAACGAGGGAGAGTATTGAAAATGGCATGGTCAACTCCCCCATGTTTCAATACACTCTACCATAGAAGGACAATAGTTTAACTAGGACAAAGTTACAGTACTATAACAAGCAAAACAAAGACAAGCACGAGAATTCCTGGAGGCCTGGTTTTCTACCACCGGTGCGATAAACAAACGTGTTGAAATAGACCCCATCTGCATACTACTACGGCACAAAACTGGAAACAAGACTACCCACCGTGACAGACCGGACCATATAAATTCATAGCAGGACAGAACAACAGTGCTTCACCGGAGGCTGCACAGTACTGAAGATGTCACCTGGAAGGGAAATGAAACTATTTGCACAAAAACCAGTCAGCTGGGCGAACCAACCAACAGCTTCAACCACAACCGGAACTGCAGATCTTTGTCAAAACATTAAAGATGTTAGATATACATTTCTTAGAGAATGAAGGAATCAAAGGGTATGTGGCGAAAGTGAGAACAGGGTATTGAGTTGGATGATCAGCTATAATCATAAATTTTGAAATAACTCAGGCCAGTATTCTATCACTAAGGCACACTTTATTTACACATAAACAGAATCTCAGACACACTGCTTATATCTGCCAGCCAGGGCTCCCTGATTGGATGAAGTTAGCAGCCTCAATTAGAGAACTCATATTCTGAGATCCGCCTGGCTCACCCATTACAATCAGTACAAATATTAATATAACAAGGCCCTGATCTTTATAGAGAGAAAGAACATATACATGCACGGTGCCTGTTTAAACTCAATAAATTAGGTGGCAGCATTTACAACAGAAGTTGCTGGAAAAGCTCAGCAGGTCTGGCAGCATCTGCGAAATAAAAATCAGAGTTAATGTTTTGGGTCCAATGACCTTTTCTCAGAATAGTCGGTCACCGGACCTGAAACTTTAACTCTGTTTCTTTCCTTCACAGATACTACCATACCTGCTGAGCTTTTCTAGCAACTTCTGTATTTGTTCCTGATTTACAGCATCCGCAGTCCTTTCGGTTTTTATTCAGGTGACAGCATTTACTGGTTCCTTCCTTTGGGTAAAGCCCTGACTAATCAGAGCCTACCTGCCTGGTTTAAAATTTAAACAAAGCCTGCTTCTTAATTGTCAATCATGATTGTTTTAACAATGCTCATTTTTTTGTCACAAAATAACTATTCCATCTTACTCTCTCTCTCTGTCTCATTCTCTTGCTTTCTTTTCTCATGTCTTTCTCTTTCTGTCACCCATGCAAGCTGTTATTTATCACTGATTTATTTGTCCTTGAATTCTAGCTTGTTGAATTGCATGACTTGATAAATGAGGCCATGGTGCACGTAGGACAGTACAGTCAAAGCTTTGAACGTTTCTGTATCATGGTGGAGCAAGCTATGGAGTTGGACTTTGAGACTTCTGTGAAGCAGCATGACTGGACTCCACAGAAATTCAGGATCATGTTGCAGATGTACAATGAGCACATAATGGACATGAGAAACATGACCGTGGAGAGACGTGTACGCATGATGAAGGTGCTGAGCCGACAGTTCCAGGCAGACTGCATGCCCTATTCAGAAGCAGTGCTCAAAGCAGTGCAAACCCATATGATAAATTATGCTCACAAGAAGAATCTTGGGCTGATGGCAGTGAGTATCTATTCATTTATCTTTTTGCCAACTGCTGTGCTGAATCTCTATAGCCCTTCTTCCAGGTAGACTAGGGAGGAACTGGGAGGCAGGGAGTACTTCATAATGGAGTGGAAAGGGGAAGGGTACAAAGTCTGCTGCCTTCACGACGCCTCTGAGTTTACTTTGGGCCGAAGCAGTGAGAATGACCTTCTAGCCTGGGGATCAATTGAAGCCATTAAGTGACCACTTAGGAGCCATTTAGGAATCTCATTCTTCCATCAGCAGGCTGGTGGGATCATGCCATGTGTGTACAGTGCCAGGTGAATGGTTGTGGCCTGGTGCGGGTGGGAGAAGGATCATAACACCAGCTGTCACGCTTCCCCTAAGCAGTAACATGTGCTGTGGATAAGGGGGATCAATGGATGTTCTATACTTAAATTTCCAGAAGGCATTTCATAAAGTACCCTATCAACGGTTATTATGGAAAATAAAAGGCTCATGGTGGTCTATGAGGTAGCATATTAGCATGGACAGTAGGCTTGGTTGTTTAACAGGAAGCAGACTGTAGGCATAAATTAGTCTTTTATTTAACTTATCTGCCATTTCCTAGTTCCCTATTATTATTCCCCCAGCCCCATTCTCCAAGGAGCCCAGCTAACTTTGGCATCTCTCTTGCTTTTTACATATCACTGTCCACTTTAATATTACTTGCAAGTTTACAGTCAGCTTAACATGCAGGTCAGCCCCAAGTATCTAAATCCCCCAATAAAAACCAAAAAAACTGCGAATGCTGTAAATCAGGAACAAAAACAAAGTTGCTGGAAAAGCTCAGCAGGTCTGGCAGCATCTGTGGAGGAGAAAACAGAGTTAACGTTTCGGGTCCGGTGACCCTTCCTCAGAAGG